AATAATATTGATATGATTTTTTATGATAAATATCAAGTTTTGTTATATTATGCCCTTTGTCTCTCTTTTACTAGCCTTTATGTGACACTATGTTGTTGAGAGATACAACCAACCTATGATGTTGAAATCCACTTATTTCTAAATATGTGATTTTCAAGCTTAAGCATTTGTGGGAGATTAAAATCCTGTTAAGAAATTACTAACTAGGAAAAGTTCTTCTTAGAGAATATTTATCTTTAGCTATGGTTGAAGTATTTATGGTGGTAGATTCGAGGATACTAATAGGTTTTATTATAATAAGAAATAACACATTAAGAGAGATTGTTATGTTTTGAGGAGAAAGGTGCAATGTGCAAATAACAACCATAAGAGGAGAAATTAGAATAAGCAAGTGTAATTACATATTAGGTTGGTTATATATCATTGATGTTTTTTTGGCGGCTAACAGAGATAAATGCATGGTCCTAGTCCTTGTGTTTATATGAGAAATGAATCTATATATAAGATTATAGATTCATGAAACCCTTTAGACTTTCAATGTTTTTTTTTTAAGTTCGTCTGGGACGACATTTAGAATTTTTTATTTCGTTTGTACGAATCGTCTGGACGAAATGAGCGTGAACAGAACAAAGAAGTTCGTCCTGGTACGAACATAAATATCGTATGTACGATCGTCATCCGAGGACAGAACAGAGACGTTCATCCTGGTACGAACATAAATATCATCCGTATGATCAAAAATATCTAAACTCATTATTTACTCATTTTCACGGTTTAGAGAAAAGAAGAAAGAGGAGAGAGAGAAAGAAAAGGAAAGAGAGAGGAAATCCAGATTTTTGGGCGACTTCGAATTGTTTTCGTCCGTCGGCGCAGTTGGGAAAGTTATTCGACTAGAGGTAAGGCACATTATGCATATCTCAAATTTAAAAAAAGTGAAAGTTTGGTGAATATTCCGATCAAAATTTTGTATCTATTAGCGAAAAATGGGGGTAATTTTGCACCGGTAAAACTTTTACCGCGTAACTTTTTATATATCATAGATATTATGATTATGCACATTCTGAATATTTTCTGAAAAATTTTCACCATGTATTCTGAAATATAAGGGGTTTTTAATGAATAGAAAATTTTTTGGATGTTGAAAAATAGTACAATAGTACAATAAAAGTCTTAAAACATTGTTCTACATAATCCCTGATAATCTGGTAATTTTTTGAAACTGTGCATTTTTTACTCGTTGAATTTTCTATTGTCTACCATTATATAATATGGTGATATTTTGATACATGCTCAATTACGCTGTAATTATTATAATGTGATGATATATGTTTACATGTGATTAAATGATATTTGTTGGTAGTTATAGGGGGCCAGAATCCTTTGAAATTATGTCTGTGTTAAGGAATTTTTGGGAGTTATAAGGGGTCAGAATCCTTTAAGATTCTATATGTGACAGGGAATTTCTGGGAGTCATAAGGGGCCAAAATTCTTTAAGATTTTATCTGGATCCGAGAAATATGATCTGAACAACTCTGTGTATCTGATATGTTCTGGTGTTGTAAGCACGAATAAAAAGGGAGTAGTAAGGGGCCAGAATCCTTTGAGATTTTGTCTGGGTTTGGGAAATATGATCTGAACAACTCTGTGTATCTGATATGTTCTGGTGTTATAAGCACGAAAAAAGGGAGTCGTAAGGGGCCAGAATCTTTTGAGATTCTGTCTGGGTCCGGGAAATGTGATATGAACAACACTGTGATATGAATTTTCATTTATTCATTTATTCATTTATTATATATTATTATCATATTCATTTGTTATATACTATTATCTGATTCATTTGTTCTGTACTGTTATCTGATTTATCTGTTATGTACTGTTATTTGATTTATATGTTCTATATTATTATCTATTTTATATGTTCTGTACTATTATCTGATTTATCTGTTATGTATTGTTATATGATTTATCTATTATGTACTGTTATCTGATTCATCTGTTCAGTACTGTTATCTGATTCATCTGTTCTACATTGTTATTTGATTCATCTGTTATGTACTATTATCTGATTTATCTATTTTATATTGTTATATGATTATTTGTTCTGTATTGTTATCTGATTTATCTATTCTATACTATTATATGATTTATCTGTTCTGTACTGTTATCTGATTTATCTGTTATGTATTGTTATCTGATTCATCTGTTTTGTACTGTTATCTGAATCATAGAATATTTTCTATGTATTTATTATATTTTTCTATTTTGTGATTCTCAGTTCAATGAATTATTTAAACTGCAATTAACTGCTTTTAAATCTTCAGTAAAATAGTTAAAATAAAAGAATATTTGAAAATTTAGATTGGCTCGTGTGACTTGCTGAGCTGTTATAGCTCACTGTGGTTTTACTCATGGTTTTCAGGATCTGGTAAAGGGAAAGATGTTGTGGACTAGCTATTCAAGATCATATATGAGGTTATAGGTATCTTGCTATTTTAATTTTGTACAGTCATGGCTAGTTTACTTTATAGTTCTGTAACTCTTGTTTATAGCCATGTACTGTAGTGTATATAAATATTTTGATGAATGAATGAGTTTTTCACGATTTGGATATTTTAGTAGCTCTATAGTTCATCATTATTTCAATGAATATCGGCAAAAAATCTGAAATAATTCCAAAACTATATCTTGGGGTTTGCCTGTCACCGCTCAACACGATAGGACCTATCCTGGTCGGGTTGGGTTGTGACATAATGTTTGTCAGGGGCGGATCCAGCTTCTTTATTTAGGGTGGGCAAAAAAAAAAATTTATGAGGAATGGGCAAATATACTTAGGATTGATAAAAGTAGGGCAAAAAAAATTTTTTAGGGGGGGCAAAATGCCCAAAATACCCAAAATATTTTAAAATCTCCCCTCTAAATATTTAAAAAAAAAAATTTGAGGGTGGGCATTTGCCCACCCTAAGCCATGGGTGGATCCGCCCATGATGTTTGTGCTATATTTGGGAAATAGTCAAATACTCTAAAGAGGAACTAGTGTTGTAGAATTTAAGTATTCTACTGATGCTTGTATTATTTAGTTTTGTAAGTGTGTTTTAGTTGTCCTGAAGAAAAAAAAAAGAGTTAGTGAGCTCTATGTGATATAAAGTGCAATATTGAGTAATGACATGTAGGATTCAACAACTTCAATGAAGTTATAATTTTGTGAAGCCAATATCTCTCTTCCCGACAACACTAAAGATTCCAATATAAATAGAGGGACAAGTTAAGGGGAAGACCTTTAGAGATGACACAAAGATTAATCTTGTGTTGCATAGTGTGCCTCAATTCCAAGTTGTACCATTACAACATTCAAAGTAAGAGATGACTAATTTATAGGTAAAGTAGTTTAATAGTGGGAGCACAATTAGGTCCAGTACCATTTTAAAGTGCATCATTTGTGTTATATATGTGTCATGTAAGTACTCACCTCAAGCAACATTTAAGCTGAATAAGATTGTATTGTGTTGAGCCCTTTCAGAAATTTGGGAGCATAGAATGCTCGATTTGGCGAGGGGCCACTTAAATAGGTATCAAATTTCTTATGTGAAAATTTGAAAATAACTTGACTAATTTATCAGGAATTGAGTCAATATCCTTGTATGATTCACATGGTGATATAAGCAAGTTTTTATGTGAAAGCTTGCAAGTTAGATGATTTTGCATATAAGCTAGATAAATTTGCATTAGATTGGTGGCTATATGTTGAGGCATGGATGTATAGGGGCAAATAAATTACAAGAAGCACAAGAGTTCATTGTCAGGAATTTGAAATATCATCTTGATGACGATGAGCTGACTTCTAAAGCAGATATTTTAAGGGTATTTATTTAGCCACCGTTTGTTCTCTCTCTGTTTTATTCGTCTTCAAAGATATAAATCTGTAAAGGTGTACTCAAAAGCAGAAGAAGCACAAGAGTTCATTGCCAGGAATTTGAAATATCATCTCGATGACGATGAGCTGAATTCTAAAGCAGATATTTTAAGGGTATTTATTTAGCCACCGTTCCTTCTCTCTCTGTTTTATTCGTCTTCAGAGATATAAATATGTACTTTTCTTTGTTATATAAAGGTGTACTCAAATTTTAGAAAGAATTGATGATCGCCATTTAATTTTACACTACCTGGTAACTTTTTGTTAATGATAAAATTCTCTCATAATGCATAGTCATATGCTTAAGTTTATCTACATAATTTTTGACAATTTTTTGTGTGCAATGCTTCATATATTTGTAGTTGCTTTATGATTCATTAATGCTTCTAAAATCGACACAGTTTTTCTTCGTAGATTTGCGCAAATCACATAAATCTTGAATGATTTCCCTACTATTACTTCATCGTTTATAGTATTCTCTAAGTACGCGCTTCCACATAAAAGCAGTTGTCTCAGCAAGCCTCCTGGTTTAGAGCTTAGGCTTTCAACTAAGAGATCTTGAGTTCGAGTCTTTGTGTATGCGTTGTGTGTATGAATTTACCTTATATGGCCTAAATGTCCCCAAAAAAAAAAAAACAAGCCTCCAATCTCTATTATATAGATCAAAATCAAAACCACTCGGGGCCAAGGCCCAAGGGTCTGGTGATCTAAAATTTTATCTAAATTATCTTTCTTTCGTCTCCTTCAATGGTTGACATTGGTTTCCAATCATCCATGTTCCAATCTCATCAAAATATATACCGAATAATTTTTCATGGGTTAACAGACATTCAGCCATAGGTAGTATCACATGGATCATCACTAAATTTTTTTGCTGACAATAAAGCTTTTAATACGTAGAGTGGCGTTGGAAAGAGATACAAGTACCGAATGGTGTTGTATGTAGGTTTAACACATGTATTTTGAGAAAAAATAAATAATTTTTTTTTTCTTTCGTTCCTTCCTCAAGCTTCACCAATTCAAAACCCAAACAGGGCTAAGATGGTGGGATTTCGTTCAGTATTGGTAAGGATGTTACTTGATGTACAAGTTTTCTTATAATTAACTTAGTATAGCTTGTGAAACGGGTTATGTTGATTTAAAAGCCAAAAGATTTTTTGGCTCAAAGACAGCACTCTGCAAAAGAGATGGCAGTAAAACAAGCCAAATATGGGCCACTATTATTTGAGAGAGTGAAAAGTGGAAGGAGCTATTTACACAATTTCATCCACTTGCTCTAAATTAACTATTGGATGTGCACACTAGCAGCACAGTGCCAACAACCAGGAGTTGGATAAGAGAAGTGCCACGTGTAAATGTCATATGGGGGTGAAGATTGTGGCCAATCCCTGGTCGACAATCAATTGGATCGGAGAGCCATACACCATTAGATCCCTTTCTTTCCCATGCATGTAAGTCCCTTCTCCCCTAGCAATGACTTCACCGTCGACGTCAATGATGCCTCCTTTTTTGGGGTTCTCCACACGGTTGCCAGGAACCAAACGAAATGCTTTCACCTGAAAGAGTAAAATGAATGCCTTTTCACATATTAGAAAAAAGCCAACTCCAACAAAATTCATCCATAGGAGTAAAAATGTAAATCTTTAAAGGAAGTGCAGATTTGCATTGGATTGCTTACTTTGAGATACACCACATATGGGGACTTAACATGGCTTCCATCACTCATCTTCAGCAATAAAGATATAAGGGCAGCTTTTGAACAGTCCTTGAGAATAGCCAGGTCAAGAAAGCCATCCGAAAACTGCAAAGCAGAACAACAATGTCATGAAAACACAAGCAAAGAGTAAAGCAAACCACCAAGATGCCCACAAGCAATAATGATACCAATTCAAGACATTTACATCAGAAATGATTGCTTCTTTGAAAGCTGCAAACTACACAAAAAAAATTGCTGACCATCGAATTAAATGTTAGCATTCTAAATCCTACATGCGATATACAAAAGTCAACATGCCTAATCAAATGACAGTGTAACCAAAGATGACAGACAGCACATACATGTCCACGTCAACGTGTATTTTTTTTTTTTTTTTAATATAAATTTATGAGAATAAACCAAACAGTCTCATGTGTCTATATAAATCTCCCCTTAATATAAGAGTTTTCTACTTCATCCATCCTATCAAAGCTTTCTTAATCAAAGTAGTACATATCAAAAACGTAATAGAGAAACGCCATACAGCCAAAAATACAACTCAGTTTTGCTGAACAATGTCAGAGTAAAGCAGGAACCACTAATGCGTTGATGACTAACCATAGCCAAAGCCAGGCTCTATTACGTCTTGCTAAGTAGTTTAAGCCCAGAAATTAGTGTGCAAAGACCTATTCGATCTAAAAGCTTAAGCCAATAAGTGAAATCCAACAACTAGCATATTCACATTGACTGTATGTTTCCAATTACCATGTGTGGACTAATCCCTACACTCGTGTTCTTGACAGGAACTTCAAGAAGGGTCCAAAAGTAATGTTTGTGGTATTGACACGAAACAATTTTATGTTACTGAGACAGCTTACCACATGCATGAACCCCTTCTTTAAGAATTATTGTTAAAAAAAATTACGAAGAAGACCATTGTAAAGTCGATGATTTGATTGTATAAAAAACTTCTATCAGATGTTGCGAAACCTGTGTAGTCTGCTTGATATAGAGAAGTGCTTATGATGAACATGGCAAAATTGACTGGTACCTTGGCTTCAGGTGCTGGCTTAGCATCCTCTCCAACCCAGGGAACATTAAATAGTGAAACCGATATAAAGGGGCCTTCAAGAAATCTCCATTCTGAATGATCAAAACAAGCAGTGGGGCCCTGGTAACCACCTTGCAGGACTTCAGAACTGTTATGTCGTGAATTAGAGGAATTCATGCTAGCAGCATAGCTTCCTCCATCATTTATTTTTTCCCCATAGAATTCATGTCCTGGAGCAGGTACAAATTCAACTCGCCCATGATACTTGCGCAAGTTCATCATTCTTAGAAAACACTGAAACAAAAGCACCATTAACAAGAAGCACCAGCCCATTAACTCCGCACGCTATTATATTCAAGCAACATAAAATATCCTTTATACAGGAACAAGTAATATAAAACATCCTTCGTAGAGAAGAAACAAACAAACCATTTCCTATTGAAATGAATAAAACAAGGAATTTCCATTCTAATTAGCGAAATCTTGGCTTCATACTTTTTCGGTTCAAGTCATCAAGAAAAAGGTTACATAAGTATATATATTTTGTTACATAACTTATTGAAAGGAATAAAACAAACCATTTCCTATTGAAATGAAAAAGGTTACATAACTTATAATTTCTATTATAACAACTGTAAAAGAAAAGATGCAAGTGATGAAAGTTCAATTTATGGTTGTTAAACCACTTAAACTATAAAGGCACATTAAGAGGGAGTTAATTGGTGTTTTGAAAATTTTCTTTTCAAAAAATTCCCTTTTGAAATACTTAAACCAAATTCACAACTTAAATTTAAAAATAAATTTTTCAAAGTGGATGCAAACAATAAAACAACTTTTTCTTTTATTTATACAACAACAACAACAACATCAAGCATTTATCCCACTACGTACTGTCGGCTACATAAATCCTTTTTCTCCATTGTGTCCTATTAAAGGTCAAATTCTCGTTTAAATCTAATAAAGAAAGGTCATTACTAATATTTTATAACCAAGTCTTTTTAGGTCTGCCGCTACCTTTCTTAACATAAGTCAAATCTAATACCTCTACTCTCCTAACCGGGTCATTGGAAGGCCGCCGTTTTATGTGACCAAACCATCTAAGGTGACTCTCTCTAATCTTATCTTCTACTGGAGCTACTCCAACCTTTTCACGTATATGCTCATTTTATTTTATAGAAAAACAAAAAATATATTTTTATTCTTTTGATTTTCAGATTTTTTTTTCGAACAAAAACTAAATCCAAAGCACTCTCAATATTATCGTATCACAGAGGTGTCAATTTTCAACTCAAATTTACAGGAAAATTATTTTGTAAATAAGTAAAGTGGAAAAACAAAAGTGTAAAAAAATAAACAAACAAGCACACCATAATTTTTATAGTGGTTTGGTCAACTTGACCTACGGTCACTCCCTAAAATCCTCTCCAGGTATTGCACTAAAACTCTTTAGTGTCTCTCCTTTTGCCCCACAGCAAGGCGGAGAGCCTTCACAAGAATTACTTCCACCTTTTCCCGGTGCAACGAAGTAGCTGAATTCCTTTCAACTTCCTTGGTGCGGCGGAGTAGCCGAATCCCTTTCACCTTCTCCAGTGTGGCGGAGTTATCAGTGTCCCATTGACATGAAGAGGTTCTGCCTGCAATTTTCCTCAAACAAAGCTTTGACTCATGGAGGAATAAGATGGATGTTAGCCAGAGTAACTGTGTGTAAACTCTTTCTCACACTCCCTTGATCCTACAATGCTATTCTCTCTCTCACAACTTCACCTCTCTCTCCCTTTCTCAAAACCCTCTCTTCAAATCCTTGCATACAGAGGACACACACCCCTTGACTGCCAAATTAGGGGTTGTTTAGGAATTTTGTATTCTCCTTTGACTTTAATTAGTTGCTAAAGCTAGAATTAGGGTTTCATCTTGAATCTGAATCTGAAATTTGAGATCTCTTGTGTACTTGGGCTCTAGTCTCTCGGCTAGAGATTTGGAGAGTCGTTTCTGATGAGGACATCGAAGATCAACAGCTACGATCGTGTCTATTTATTTTCATGTATTTTATTTGTTATTTGTACTTTTCTATTTCTACCCTCACTTGAGGGCTTTGTTTTATGTTTGCCCTAGGGGCAATTGTGTCTTTTTATTTTCCATCATGTATTTGGCTATTTAAGCCCTCCCCTTCCTCTTGGAAAGGATGATGATTATTATTAATGAAAATTTTGGTCTTGGATCTCTTTGTGAGTTCTAGAGTTCTCTTTGTGAGTTCTCAAGTGAGGAAAGCCTAGGAGAGGCTCAAAGCAATACCCAACAGCCCCTTGGTGGAGCTCTTGGTTTTCTACCCAACATCTTTTCTTCTTCTCTCCATTTCATTAGTTCTCTTCGTGAGTTCTTGAGGGGAATTTTGTGGATCTCTGTGTGAGTTCCGGCATTTTTTACAATCTCCCTTTGAGATCTCGAAGAAGAGGTGCGTGAGGTTAGAAAATTCTGAATTTTCTCCACAATTTTCATCCTGCTTCCAGGCTCTAGAATCCCCTCCCCACTTCCCCCTTGCTGTCGGCCACCTTGGGCCGCCCAGGCCGCCGACCACCACCACCTGAAAGTTCGTCCACGCCGCCGCCCCCTCTTCCCCAATTTTCCTTCCCCACCACTCCACCCGCCGGCCCCTCTTGGAGTTTTGAATTTGAAATTCAAAGCTCTCATGAGGCTTTGATACTTTTCTAATTTAGCTCCTTAATTTAAGGCCTCCAAATTAATTAGATTTCAATTTGAATTTGAATTCAAATTGGTCTTAATCAATACCCTCTTATGAGGAAACTTCCCTAGCTTAAAAACCTGAAATATATTTCAGATTTTTATTTAAAGCTTTGTTAGCCAAGTGGTCCCCACCTACTTAAGTTAAACATTTTCTCCCTCTCTATGCTTGGCCGGCCTTCCCCTTATTGTTTTCTAATTAATTGCCACATCACCACCTCTTAAATGCCTCCTCTCACATAATTAATTCCAAATTTCTTCAGTTTTAATCTCAGATTTCAAAAATCTGAGAACTGAAACGGCTTCCCTCTCTCCTCCGTTAGCTCCCTCATCCCACTAACTCAGGCCCACCCACTCCTTATTGCCGCTTCTCTCCCTATGGGATTTAATTTGAAAACTCTCAATTAATCCCTTTTCTTCTCACCCAAAACCTGATATAATTTCAGGTTTACTGAAATTTTCTTGTGGTCTCTCAACCTAGCCGCCCCATACCTTTCCTCCCAAACGTAACTTCAGATTTTTCCAGATTTCAAAATCTGAGATTGGAAATCAAGATTAATTCCTCTCAGATTTTCTCTACTGGAGTTATGTTTCTGTCCAGAAGAATCCTAAAAGCTGTTACAGGTTTTCGGGCATTTCCACCTGTTGTCCACTGCTTGGGAAAGTTCCAGATTGCTGTCCCCTGTCCAAGAGTACCCAAATCAGCAACAAAGCTCTCCCGGGAGACCACGTGGCTTCTGTCCTGAATTTCTGCACCTCTTCCCAGGCGTTCCTTAGTGCGAGGAGGTTCGGGGTTGCTTCCCACTTCATTCCCAACTACAAATAGCTTTGCCGGAGCGCGTATCTCTCTTGTCTTTGGGTAAATTCGACACCCGACTCTCTATCTTCATAGTTGCATCATTGAATGTGAATTTATTATCTTCATGAAGGTCGTATTAATGCTTCTCCGCTAAAGCCTAGTATTTAGAAGAGTTGTGTGAGGGACCTTTTATAGACTAATCTTATTGTTAGTATTGGAATCTATTGTTGGAACTATCCATGTATGCAATGTTGGATTAATCAGGCTATCTTTTTGAACTCAACTTATATTCATGTGAATTAACCTAAGCTGAGTACCACTTAATATTTATCTTATCGTTCAGTTCCGCATAAGATATTGCTTATTATTACCTCTAAATCTAAGCGTGCAAATTTCTTTAAGCAAATCACTTTCGCATGGATTGTTTCACATCATTTTCTTCCTCTCGAATTGAAGAAACGTGTATCTTTTGCTATTTTTCTGCATCCGTTAGTGGAATCCTTCATTTTTCTCTCAGATTTTCTTAGTTTTCTCAAGGTTGCTGCTATCAAGTTGTTTTTCTTTCAAAAACATCAGTTTTTCTGCTTTTGAGTATGTGTTTTCTATCAGAAACATCTCAATCCTCACCCAATAACACATCTATTATACAACCAAGTTCACTCTCCTCACATTCTTCTCTCCACCGTCCACCCACCTCTCCAACCAATGTACACCCCATGAAAACCTGTGGCAAAACAGGTCACTTAAAACCAAACATCTCTTCACTCTCCATGCTACCTCAAATATCACTTCTGCTACCACTTGTTATTCTCAGGCTTCACATATCCCAGCATGGAAAAGAGCTATGTCTCAAGAGTTTTTAGCTCTACAACATTAAGATACCTGGTCACTAGTTCCTTCCCCTCCTAATCACCCCATTCTCAGTTGTCGTTGGATTTATAAAATTAAACTCAATCATGACGGCTCAATCAATAAACATAAAGCTCATCTTGTGGCCCAAGGTTTTAAGCAAACTCATGACATTGATTATGTTGAAACATTAAGCCCAATCGCAAAATTGCCCACCATCCATCTTCTACTTACCGTAGCTCATCATAAAAACTAGCCAGTGCAACAACTTGACATTTCTAATGCCTTCCTTCATGGGACGCTTTCAAAAACCGTTTACATGACTCAACCCATCGGCTTCATCGACCCAACTCTTCCAAATCATGTTTGCAAACTTCAAAAAGCAATGTATGGTCTTAAACAGGCATCAAAATAATGTTTTATCACATTTTCTAACTTTCTCCTCACACAAAATTTACACTACAGCTCTTCCAATCCAACTATCTTCATTTCCTCCAATGGTACTACCAAAATATATCTACTTCCCTACGTAAATGATGTCCAAGTTACTGGAAACAATCCATCCCATATCTCTACACTACTCACAGCTCTACAAAGTCAAATTTTCCTCACCGACCTCGTCCCAATATATATTTTTTCTTGGCATTCAAGTCATCCCAACACCCAACTCTTATTTCCTTCATCAAACCAAGTATGCCAAGGACATCATCCATAAATTTGGCCTTGCCGATTGCAAACCTGCCCAATCACCAATGTACTCAAAATATTTTCCACAAATGGCAACAATAATCTCTCTCCAATCCCCTTCTTTACCACCAAATTGGTTCTTTACAATATCTTACCATAACCCAACCAATCATCGCCTTTGCTACCAACTCTCTTTGTCAATCCATGCATAAACCACTCA